TAAAGTTAATTTTAAGAAATAGAATTAAGACGAATACGTTTTTTTATAGAATATTAAAATTTTTATACCAAAACTAATTATTGATATAATTTCTTTAATAATTATGATCTGAGGTCATGAGAATATTGAGAGGAATGCTGTAATAGAATACATTTCTCAGCTATTTTTTTAATACATTCTTATATAAAATCTTAAAAGAAAGTATGTGTTTTGAATGTAATTTATTAGGAGTAAGATTGAATAATTGATAATTATCAAGAAAACATCTATCTTTTACCAAATTGTGTCTAAGATTGAGTGTTTATAGAGTCATAAAGGTAAATCTTCTTTTTAATTTAATTTTTATTATTATGCAAAACATTAAGTTCAGCTATATTTACATTAATTGAAACAATAGAGTGATCAGAAATGTTAGAGTCAACATTGATAGTTTGAGCTTTATTAAGACTTGTAGTAATATATAAAGTTGTATAAATATGATCAATTCTTGATGGTTGATAGTTTGCAGAGTAGAAAAAAAATGGAAATTGTAGATTAACATAATTGTATAAAAAGTTAAAGAAGTTGAAAAGTTGTAGATCATCCAATTAAGTAAAGAAAGAATTAGTATTCGTCATGTTATTAAGATGATCAAGAATAATGTTAAGATTGCTTATTAAAATAATTTTCATATTGAGATCTCTAACCAATTTAATAACAACTGAATATAACAATTAATTAGTCTAATGCAAAATTTATTAAAAAACTAGAAGTCAAATAAAAATATAGCATTCGTGTTAACTGTGATATTTGTAAATATGATCAGCGATATATTTTTTAATAAGGAAGTCAACTTCAAAATCAGAATTTTGTGATTGTTGATTAAAGTTAAAAAAATGTGAGTAAGAAGATAAAGATGATTTTGAAAAAGATAGAATATTATTATTTGATTTGAAATTAATTTTCTGAAGGCCTATTATATCTAAATGATTAATTTCATAAGTGTTGAATAAAAATTGTTATTTTTGTGATTGAATGAAGGAGCAAATATTGTGCATTATGATGTTTAGTCAGGAAGATAAAGTATTATTAGTAGAAAGTATATTGTAATTATTATTAATATTTATTATGTCATTATTTAATATCAGGTTCTTAAGGCCTACCTGTTAATTATTGTATAAATTATTAATTATTAAAAATGTTTAGGAGTAGGAAAGATAAAGATACCATCAGCTGACTTTTCATAACTAGAAGGAGGAATAACTTCTTCAATAGTAGTAAAAGCATCTGAGGCAATATTAAGTTATAATTGTAAGATTCTTTGCATATTGATGATAGTATATCTAGCATTGTTAAGTTTTAACATGTTATTTTTAAGATTAGTTTTAAGGAGGGTATTTTCGTCTCTTAGAGTAATTAATTCAGCAGATTGTTTAGTAACAATATTATCATTAGTATTGGGATCAGCTACATAGATATGTTTCTTAGTTTCTATACCATCTTTATTAAAGGATTTGTTGAGTAAATCTACTTGATGTGGAAGCAAGACATCGATATTAAAGACTTTTTCAACTATAGTAACATGGTTAATAATTAATTAAAAATCTACATCTATCTTAGTGAGTTACTTAAAAATAGTGAATAGTTAGTTAGAGATTCATATAAGTAATTTGAGTTAGGATAGTTGATCTGAATTATCATTCGCCTTATAGTATTCTTCATCTATTTTATCAACCCAGTGGTAAAATATATGAATATTAGCATTTAATGTTTATTCATCTTTATCATTAATAAGACGAATGGAATTTTATATTGATAACTATTAGTCACATTATGTAGTTTAGAGTAAAGTACTTTGTTTATTAATTAGGCGATTTGAGGACATTATCATGATTGGATTTATTCTTGATATTATTTTATCATTGATTAGGCTTTTGATTATTAGTTGTCAGAAGAGGATGGAGGTTTAGAGGCAATAATAGATGCTTTGTAATTGTGAAATTATGCGAGTTGATAATGTTAATATAAATGTTGAGTTTAACGATCTTGTAAGGCTATATTATTTTTATGATAATTTATGATTGATGATCTAAAACTTGACAGATAAAATAAAGTTTGGCATTAGGATCAGTTTATATTAGTCTCTTTCTATTGAGAAAGTAAGTTTCACTATATTTAGCAGCTTCTATAGATTTTTTAGTTTTAAAATAAAAGATGCATATTATAGATTTCTGTAGTTAGCATATGATTTAGGAATGGCTCAGACAATTACTTAAACTGCATTATCAATAGAGATTAAATGATGTCTATTAGTATCAAGGGGGAGGTTAGTTAATTTTAAAGAAAATTCTAATTTTTTCTAATATCTTTAACTACCATAATATACAAATGAACTCTAACTAAATCTTTGAGGATAAAATAACTGTTAAGTTTATTTAAGGTAATCATATTAATATTTTAAATATATGTAAAAGTAGCTTGTTGCTAAAGATTTTTTGTTGACATGATGTAACAGGAAATCTTTTCAAAAAAAGAGAAGATCAATCTGATATTTAATTCAGTAGTTGAGATTGGGATCTTAGTAAGACAGATTGAACTCAGAGATATACTTAGCTATTGATTTAGTTGTGAGAGATAAAAACGTGTCATTATCTAAATACCGAAGTCTAAGTGTAATTGCATTATTAGTTTTATCATGTGAGGTAAAATCAATTCAGATGATTTTTTTTGTTGAATCTTTGGAGTGAGTGTAGATTGATGCACTAATAAAAGACGAATATTATGATACAAAAATATCATAAACTTTGTTTTATTTATCTCTGTTAGATTTTTGAAGTAAAATTTTTCAGCAGTACAGTAAGCAAAAAAAATTGGAACTTTTATTTTACGTTCTAAATAAATTTTATTTTTATTGTTTTGTTGATTGTTGAGACTATTTTTAAATATATTAAAAGCTTGATCTTTGTAGAAAAGGGCTTTCCCATAATTATTGAAAATTTCTGAACCTTTTTCTTTATTAAGAATAGAGACAAGAGGAGTTTTAACCTTCATATCAATGATATTATTAGAAGGACCTTCAAGAGTATTTAAAGTTTCTATTTGTTGTAGTTCAATATGTTGTTTCTTTGTAAGACGTTGCTATTGATCATTCTCTATTAGGAAAAACTAAATTATTTATTTATTTAAAAAAATTTTATTAAATAAAAATTTAATTTTCTGAAGTATTACTTATTTTTAGAACTTATATAAAATAGATATTACTTATTTTTGAAGATTGCTAGAAGATGATATATATTTTAAAAATTAGTAATAATTTTTTATTATATTAATAAATTTAAATTTATAAATATTATATATAAAATTTTATTTATTTATTTTATTTTTATAAAATTTAAATATATTAAAACTAAATTTTAGTTTTATAAATAAAAAATAAAATCTTTTAATAATAATTAAATCTTTGATAAAATTATATTAAAATTATAATATAAATATAATAAAATTTTTTAAATATTAAAAGTTAAAATTAATGAAATTATAAATAAATATAATAAATATTATAATAAAATAATTTAAAAATTTAGTAAATATCTATATTAATTTATTAATCATAATGATAACTTATAATAATTAATGAAAAAATGTATTTGTAACACCTGTTATAATATTTTATTTGTAACACTCTTTTTTACTTTTCTTAATAATAAATTATTTTATATATTTTATAAATAAGATTTTTAACTGATTTTTTGTTTTGATTTGCTAAATTATTAACATTATACCTGATCTTAAATTTTGATTGAATAAAATTGAGGATATTATAAATAAGATATTATAACAGGTGTTACAATTAGATTATCTATAATTAATAACAAAATTTATATTTATTTTATTATTTATAATTAAAAAAATTTTAATTCTGCTATTTTTTTTAAATTATTAAAAAAATTAATATTAATTTTATTTAAAAATAATTTACTAAATTTAAAAATACAATCAAATAATTTATTATAAATTTGAATAGTAAAAATAGGTAATTTTAATATATAATTTTTAAATCCAAAAATAATTTCAAAATTTTTTTTTTGAATTAATATTTTTTTTTTTTTTTGATATATTCTACAAAAAGAAAATTTTAAATTTTTATTAAAATTACTATAAATTACAAATTTTATTGTAAAAATAACTATAAATTTAATAAATTAATCTTATATATATTATAAATAAAATAATAAATTTTATAAAAAAATTTATATAAGTATTACAATAAAAAATCATAATATATAAAATTAAAGTTATATTTAAAAATTATATATTTTAATTTATGTTTTAATATAAATTTAAAAAATGATTAATTTAAATATTTAAAATGAAATTAATAATTAAATTAATTATTGATAAAAATATTAATAGTAAATCATTATATATTATTTACTATAAAAAAATCTTAACGTTAAGCATTGTTTAATCTGATTATCAGGTATTAAATATTTGTTATTAACTATAGTGATGTAATATAATAGTATAAAATGTGGGGACCAGGACCCATGTTCAAACGATTCCCGATCCTTATTAATATAATGCAAGTTCCCACGTATTCAGTATTATTAATATTTTTTTATACCAATGTTATTCTGAAATTCATATAAGTCAAGATGTGTCTTTAATCTATTATTAGTTAAAAGAGTTCTCCATATGGAAAATCAATTTTTTGCATTTTTCCGAAGATGGGAAAAACATTCCGGGGACCAATTTAAAAGTCCTCTTTTGATCAACTGGTTGGTTTACAAGAGAATTTACAATCGAATATATTTTATCACAATGATATCACTTATGTATTGAAAAAAAAAACGTATAAATCCACAGGATTCCGATTCCCCTTTTTCAATTATTTTTTTATTTTAAAATTTATTTTCTAATTTCCTAATTTCTTCTTTTTATATATACATATATATATTTTATCTTGTTCTAACTTTATTCTTTATTCAAACGTTTGGCGATTTTGGATAGCAAAATTAAGAATGCCACAACAAAAACGAAAGGCTTCGACAATTGCTTCCGCAAAAATTGCGGAAGAAGCTGGCAGTGGCAGAAAACGTAAATCCGATACCAAAGAACAACGAACTTCTTCTACCAAGGAAACCGATAATGACAAAGATATTGTTAAAGGTGATGATATTGAACAAAATGTCTCTGATGATAAAGTGAAAGAATCTGTTAAAGAACAACCTGGTAATAAACGTCGTAAGAAAAGCGAAGAACAAGAATCTAATTCTCAAGAAATTCAAGAACAGAAAAGCGGAAACGGCATCATAGTTGATAAAATTAATGAAGTCAAATCCGAGCAAGAACCTCAAGGTCATGACTTGATAAAGCCCCATGAACATGACCAAATGTTGGTCGATGAATATAATAAAAATGTTGAAACAACTGAACAGCGTCAAAAAGAAGACATTGACCTATCAAAAGGCGAACAGGCCGTTGATATAAAACAAGTTCAAATAGAAACGAAAAAAGAATTAGGAAAAAAGATGGCTTCGAATACAATTGAGAAGGGTCATATTTGCTTTCTTTATAGACCAAAGGTAATAAAAAATCGCATAAAATTTTGCATATGATCACGTGAATTTCGTTAACACGTGATATTTCCTTCCTCAGATTAATGTTGAAAATCCAGATAGCATTGACGATGTTCAAAGATTGTTTATGATTCTTATACCATATATGGTGAGACCGTCTGTATCTGAGGAACCTATCCCAAGCTATTTTCATCAAATCATCGATAACAAGCAATTTGATGCCAACGAACCTATTCCCGGTAAAACTCGTGTAATTTCGATTGGTAAGAAAAAGCTCCCTGAAATTGAGAAACATGCTAAATTCTGGGCTTACGTTGTAAGTGTTCAAATAATTGAAAAAATTCCATTTATTTGATATTTAACTTTTGATGATATATATATAAAACATATATTTATTTATTTGACTTTATAGGATAAAGCCTTTACAAATTTGGATGACTTAAAAGATTTCACTAATGGAAGAAAATATCAAACTGCTACTCGAGGTGAAAGAACTTTAAGTTCGTGCAGACTCTTGGGAAGAGGAGTGTACAACATTGTTGAACATAAAGGACACACACATTTGGCATATGTTTTAGAATTTCCCGAAGAACCAAATGAAGTTCAAAAAGAATTCAACATTAACAAAGAAGGAAGCTACGTTATAAGTGTAAAGGTGACTAAAATTTTATTTTTTTTCGAATGGTTTCTAGTTAAGTAATATAAATGAAATTAAAATTTTATTTTTTTTAAAAAAAAAAAAAAAAAAGAACCCTGAAACTACAAATCCACAATATGCTGGACTTCCAGATTATGAAAAAGTAACTTATCCCACTCACCTTTTGGATAAATTCCGTGGTCGACGATTTATCTCCTTGGTTTCTTCCGAGTTATTGGATTACGACGGAGCCGAATTATTATTTATTGGCGCAAAGGAAGATATTACAGGAGAATTAGGAGAAGCTGGTAAGGAACTTGAGGAATTGGCGGACTTTGAGATTAAAGAAATCGCACCTTTAGCGGCGGAACGGGTTATCTATGATGAATTGCATTTGGAAAAAGATGCTCTTCCATCTGAACCACTTCATGGTTTATGGAAATAATCTAAAATTTAGTCAGTTTACATAAATATTTGTTATTATTACTAGCTTGATAAATCATTATTTTGAAAGATATGTATGTATGTATGTATTATATTTCGTAATCAAATAAACAAGTTTTGGAATTACTGTACAATATGCGATCCCCAATCTCGTGTAAGGAATGACATGATATTGTGCGTCTGTGCGTCCAGTGAACGAGAAAACAGAAAAACGCGAAAACGCGATGATAAGATAATTGCTTTTGGTGAAACATGATGTAATTCATCCTATTATTAGTCAGGTTTATACTATATATGAGCAAACTTGCCTTTTGCAAATTTACTTCCCGTTTTTTTTTTTTGTTCCTTTTATCAAAATGAAACACTCTAATAAAAGTGTACCGGCAACTTCTTCTATGCGTAATAAAGATATACTGTCACAGTTTACAGATACTTGTTCTTATGAAACTCTCTTTCTACATTACAGAGGTACGGTATTACCAAATGTACTTGTACCAGTCACGTTGTTTTCAGCATATTCAATGTGGTATGTTATATTCGCGGGACATGGGTTAGCACCAATACTTAGTAGTTCGCTTATACCTATTTTAACTATGGTAATTGCTGGTATGATTGGATTGAGAACTAATACTAGTTATGATAGATTTTGGGAAGGAAGAAAATTATGGGGTGGGTTAGTCGCCAACGTTAGGAATGCTACTCGATTACTTTGGTTTACTGTAACGAAAAATGATAAAATTGATGAAGATGAAAGGGAAGATCCTGATCCAGAAAATGAAGAAGTCAAGAAAGCAATTCGATTATTTATTGCATTTGCTATAGCTGTTAAACATCGACTTCGTGATGAACATGGAGTTGGGTATTTAGATCTAAGAGATTTAATACCTTACGTTTATCGAAAATTTGAAGAAAAACATGAACTTGCTTTAGAGAAAGATGAATCACAACATTCCAGTTCTTCCGAAGCTGTTATAAGTGAGAAAAAACCAATTTTAAATAGAAAATTAAGTAGTATCTTAAAAGAACATTCTGATATTCATAATTTACCCGTTGATATTACCCATATGTTGTATAATTACATTAGCATGTTTAGAAAACAAGGTCGTTTGGATCTTAGTACGTTTAATACTATTATTTCTTTAATTCATTCTATGACCGATATACTTACTGGATTTGAAAGAATCCTCTCCACTCCAATTCCTCTTGCCTATTCTATTCATTTAAAAGTAAGTAATATAATTCAATGATCTATTTATTCATTTACTATATATTATAAATTCTAACCTTTTTTACCCATAGCAAATGATAACATTGTATTGTATGGCATTGCCACCACAACTATATGAGAATTTAGGATGGTATACGGTTCCTATTACTGCTATAGCTACATTTACTTTCTTTGGTGTTGATGCGATAGCCACTGAAATTGAAAATCCTTTTGGTTTTGATATTAATGTATGTGATTATGGAAAAATCATTCAAAATTAAAACCATTTAAATACTCATTATTCTTTTATTATATAGGATCTACCAATTGATGATTATTGTTCAAATTTAAGAAAAGAAATTGAAAGTTTATTTGAGGAACGTCCTTTAGATCCTGTTCAATGGAATAAGAAATCTGAATAAATGATTGAGATTGTTTACTTGTAATTTATATCATTTTACTTTTATCAATATCTGAATTTTTTCTTTAAATTAAACCT